GGCCCTACCGCTGTTTCCTGTGAAGGGAACCCATCGCTGAGAGAGGAGTTCTACAGCGCCTTGTCGACTGTATGGAAAGATACAACGAGAAGCGGAGTTCTATGCTTCATCGCTGGAGACTTCAACAGCAAAGTTGGAATTCGTAAGAGAGCTGATGAAAGTAAATGGCTAGGCTCCTTCAGCAGAGGCGCCAGAAATGATAACGGACAACACATGTTGGAATGGTCAATTGAAAATGATGCCTTCTTGGCCAATACAGCTTTTCAACACCGCCAGAGCCACCACATGGACGGGTTGGCGGCGACCTGGGAGTGGAGAAGTTGGCCCACAACCTGTCTACAACCAGATCGATTTTGTTCTTTGCCGTACGCAACACAAGCCACTGCTGTGTAATGCACGTAGCTATGCAGGCTGCGAGACACCAACGGACCACAGAATAGTCATTGCCACACTGCAGCTTCGTGCGTTATTTCCAATCTGGCGGAAGGGAAACCAGACAACTAAGCGTAGCTTCAACACCTCGATGTTTACTCAGAACCCCCAGGTCTGTAGTCAATTCCAGGAGGAGGTAGACAAAGCACTGGCAACGCAACAAACGCAGCAGGGAACTGTTTCAGCTGAGGCACGTTTCGGAGGTGTGAGGGATGCACTGGAGTCGGCTGCAACAAAAACAGTTGGATATAAAAAGAGAGCCGAATGTAGCCGAAAAGCCCATGATCCTGGCATAGCCCTTCTATCAGCACAACAAAAAGAACTGCGGGTAAAAATCGACTCGACAAAATGCCCAGACGGGAGGAAATCACTGAAACGCGATCGGAATCAGATATTACACCAGATACGAGATATCGCCCGGAACAACTCTGAAGCCCGCCTGGACTCCTTCGCTCAAGAAGTAGAGAAGCTGAAAAACAATGCAAGGGTCTTTCAAGCAGCCTCTTTGCTGCGGCGGCAGTCTCCCGCGCCATTGGTTGTTCATGACGCTCTTGGACGGATAATCGCCAACGATAAAGAAGCGGCAGAGAAGGTAGCTGACCACTTCAGGCAGCAGTTTCGGGATCCATCTGCAGTAAATGATATTCTGAGACCACTGGGCTCGAAGTATCTTGAAGATAGGATCAGCGCTGCGGACGTTGCCCTGGCAATTAGATTACTCAAATCGCAGAGGGCAGCTGGGCCGGATGGCATCCCCGGGGACCTGTTCAAGCATGCTGGTGAGAGGGTCGCACATGAGATCGCTGCCATTCTAAACCAATGTTTTGCGGATGGCAGTGGAATGGATCTTGGATGTGGAACACTAATCCCGCTCCCGAAACCAGGGAAACCCAGAGGGCCGCTAACCAGTATCAGGCCAATAATACTCTTGAACTCTATACGCAAATGCCTGTCAACAATCACACTTCGCAGGATTATGCCAAAGATTGACTCCTACCTATCTCCAACCCAGAGCGCTTCCCGTCCGGGTCGGAGTACCGCGGATATTGTCTGGTGTGGCCGGTGGCTGGCAGCCAAGGCTGAACGTTTCAAGTGGCAATGTACGGTCCTCGGAATGGATATGAGCAAGGCGTTCGACACAGTGCAGCGGGGAAGATTGGTGGAGGTAATGAAACAAATAGTTAACACAGATGAGGTACGAATGGTGGAGATGTTGCACAACACAAGGCTAAGAGTGAAGATAAAGAATGCGCTCTCGGCAGAATTTCCAACATCAATAGGCATCCCACAAGGAGATAGTTTGTCGCCGGTGCTATTCACCTGTTATCTCGAAGCGACAATGCGTTGCCTGCGTCCCAGGATATCGCCAAGACCTGCCATACTGAATATTGGAGGGACAGCCTACACGACTGTCGATATGTCCATACCTTGCGAAACAGCATACATGGACGACGTTAACCTGTACTCCACGGACCGTCAACATCTAGCGTGCGCACTAACAGAGGCAGAGGTAGTTTTCAAAGAGTGGAACCTCAACATCAACCCTACCAAGACCGAGTGGACCCATCTATACCAAGAAGAGGCTGTTGCAAGAAGAGGTGAGGAACGATGGAGGTCCACCCGGTTGCTTGGTTCACTGTACGGAGTCACAGAAGACCTCAAGCGCCGGCGCCAGCAAGCCGCAGCTGCCTTCAACACACTTGTCAACCTGTGGATGCGGAGACAAGTTATCTCTGAAGCAACCCGCCTGAGGTTGTTTGATGCATTTGTGCTATCTATTTTGACCTACAACTGTGGCGTGTGGGTGCTTTCATCCCGGGATGCTACAGCAATGGATGCGTTCCACAGAAAGCAGCTCCGCCGTCTATTAGGGATATCTTACCCGGAAATTATCACCAACACAGACCTATATACCCGCTGCAATGCCGAGCCAATATCCGTACTAAGCAGAAGAGCACGGTGGAAACTGTTTGGTCATATTCTACGCCTCCCTGAAGCAACTCCAGCGCAGGTGAGCATGACAGCGTATTTCCAGCGACAGAATCGGGGCTGGCGCGGACGCCCGCGCATCACCCTACCAGTGGTGATAGACAACGAATTAGCCAAGGCAACGTCCATGCGTCTCCGGAGTCTGAAGGACCTGGAGACACTGCGTTTGGTGGCTCGGAACAGGCAATCATTCAACGATATAATCGCACAGGTCACATTGTAGAGTGCAGATCACCTAGTGCTTTCAACAATAATAACGTACTTCCACATTATGGGAATTTGGTATAACCCCACACCCGTCATTGTTGAATATTCGATAATAGCGTGGATTTCCCCAACAATATATTTTCATTTTTTGTTATCCTCTCCCATGCCGTTGTACATAAGCGGCTTGCCGCGGATATGTCAATACTACTACTACTATCACATGGCTGTATCACATGACTATCACATGGCTGTATCACATGACTGCTATCACATAACTGTATCACATGACTGCTATCACATGACTGTACGCGTATCATTGCACTGAATGGTACTGCTGAGAGGAGAGGAAAAGCCTGGTGCTACTCACTCACAGAGTTTGACGATCATTCTGTCTGCGATCATTGGGCAAGCAATTGTGATACTCTGACTAGCAGCGAACGTCTCCTCTAAAGTACAATCAGGCTGCCTGATGAGCGTGCAGCGCGTGAAAGTTTAATTTACACTGCGCCAGCCATCCACCCGACGTGTGTTGTGGTCTTGCTTTTTCGACTCACAGGTGGCGACGCAACTCCGGAGTCTCTTAAGGACGACCAGCAGACGCGTATTGAACTGCTCCACGCACGCAGCAAGGTACTCGCCAAAGGCTATAAGGTCAGTGTGCTCAGTTGTGTTCTACTGGTGTGGCCAGCAGTACTTTGTGCTCGCTCTCTCCCTCTCTCTCTCTCACACGCACACACTCACTCACTCACTTTCTCTCTCTCACTCTCTCTCTCTCTCTCTCTCTCTCTCTCTCTCTCTCTCTCTCTCTCTCTCTCTCTCTCTCTCTCTCTCTCTCTCTCTCTCTCTCTCTCTCTCTCTCTCTCTCTCTCTCTCTCTCTCTCTCTCTCTCTCTCTCTCTCTCTCTGTATTCCATGCATACTTTCAGGGTCAGTACCAATGCACGTGTGCTGTGCTTGTCTGTGTGTGTGTGTGTGTCTGTGCGTGTATGTGTGTGTGTCTGTGTGTGTATCTGTAGAAAGAAACCAAGGCCCTGTGCCGTGAGGTGGACCAGCTGCGCAAGCAGGTGTCCCTGCTGCAGAACGGCCTGGTGACTCGTGTGTCTCTGATGGAGGACGCCGTCACCAGTCTTCTGCCGCCAGTGTCAACGTCATCATCGTCCAGTGCTGAGGCTGCTCCAACGCCGGTGTCAAACCAATCAGAGAGCATTGCATCGCCACGGCAACAGCAACAGCAGCCATGCGCACAGTGCAAGGAGATCATTGCCCGCTATTCCAAAACCTGCTCTACACTGCAAGCGACCGTTTCCGAAATGCGAAAGGTGGGTGCACTGATAGCGTTGGAGATCGAGCTACGTGTACATGTAAACGCCCATTGCGCAATGACGTAATTAGTACTGCTAGCACCCCACACGGCCACCTATGCATGGTTGTCTGGGGTGTTGAACAGTGCATTGCTGATCCCAGCGTACTCACATAACACCCCACACAGCCACCTGGGCATGGTCGTCTGGGGTGTTGAACAGTGCATTGCTGATCCCAGCGTACTCACATGCATTACTCATACATTTCATATTTGGCAATGCACAACGGTTTTTTGCGTGGAGTAAATTGCTTGAGTCAAGGTTTCCTGATCGTCATCCTCCAGGAGCCCCCCCCCCCCCCCCCCCCCGCCACCACCTTAGGGGCAGGTCACATTGAGGGAACAATCCTCAGATTATAAACCGGGAATAATTTTTTCTACTTTTCATCACGGCCACACTGGATGCGCACGATGATCAGCCTCCTGCTTGGTGAAATTCTAGCCTGGCCGTTCTCCGGCGCCCGCCACTACTGTACACCACGTGTTGCCGTTTTCCAAGTCTGATTTTCTTGAATGACTGTTTCTTCGCTTGCTTTGCCAACAGAGCGAGCAGAAAACAGATTGCGAGAGGACGATAATGTCGCAGGAAATCCGCCGCCTGCGCCAAGAGCTGGTGACGTCGTCGCCAAAGAAGTATGTTTCACGTTGCAATCTCGTTTCCCAGTGTTGTGAACTCACGTATCGTATGGATGCTACGTGATGATGTCATTGCTACGTGATGATGTCATTGCTATGTGATGATGCCATTGCTTGAGATATTCTGTGTAGAATTATAGATGCGATGCGATGATGTCATTGCATGAGATGTTCTTTGCATAGGTATGCGAGCGACGTGTAGACTACATTGTACCTTAAAAGCCCGTTAAAGGGGAAGTTAAGGCAAAAATTAAAATTTCACCAGTTGTAGTCTTCGGGGTGCTGAGTCGAATGGTCTTGGTCCGAGAAAGCTGAGACGCTCCCTTCCTACTTGAATCCCAATCGAACTCGCGCACTTCCACCGAAACTGGGTGACTGCGCCCTACTAGATGGGGATTTGTATGCAAAATGTCACTAAAAGCGCCATTTCGTTCTTATAAAAGCACGGATGACCGCGATTGGCCCATATGTTGTAGTCTTTTGGACGCTGAGTCGACTGGTTTTGGTCCGAAAAGGCTGCGATGCAGCGTCCCTCCTTTATTCCCAATCGAACATGGTTGAACAAGTGGTCGCGTGCTCCTGAGTGCCCAAATGATCACCTGGTGACCACGCCAGCAGGCGACAACTAAAAATTACTTTCACACCAAGGTTCAACTCGAGTTCAACTCGAGTGACAGGACTGCACCCAAAAAAGGTCAAACAGGCTAGTAATAATTTATTTTCTGTTGTACCCTGCAGGCACGGTGTACGCAGGAGCACGTGACCGCTTGTTCAACCAAGTTCGATTGGGAATAAAGGAGGAACGCTGCATCGCAGCCTTTTCGGACCAAAACCAGTCGACTCAGCGTCCAAAAGACTACAACATATGGGCCAATCGCGGTCATCCGTGCTTTTATAAGAACGAAATGGCGCTTTTAGTGACATTTTGCATACAAATCCCCATCTAGTTGGGCGCAGTCACCCAGTTTCGGTGGAAGTGCGCGAGTTCGATTGGGATTCAAGTAGGAAGGGAGCGTCTCAGCTTTCTCGGACCAAGACCATTCGACTCGGCACCCCGAAGACTACAACTGGTGAAATTTTAATTTTTGCCTTAACCCTTTGTGGGTCTTACTCAATGTACAGGTCGTCCCCCGTTAATACGAGTCCGGTTAGTACATAAACCCCGTTAGTACATAAGAAATCTCAAGTCCCGGACGAAACGTGGTCACTTCCATACAAATTTTGTCGGTTAGTACATAATTCGTTAGTACATAAACCCCGTTAGTACATAACATTTCTCCGTACCCGCATGCCACCTACCTCAATAGTACATAATTTGTTGGTCTTTTGGCCTTCCAGTGGAGGCACGTCGTGTTCTAGTTTCTACTTGTGGATGCAATTAGCTCAGAAATCAGAGCGCACATCACAAACCGACAAAGCTCTGTTTTTTTTCGAGTGACTGTATACAGGAACGGCTGGACATGTATCATGTAAACTGTAGAATCTTCGCTGACTGTGACCGTTATAACATAATTTTTATGTTATATCGAGGGAATCAAGAATATCTCGCTCCCTAGTCATGGCAGCAAGAAACACTCAGAAAAGTTGAAAAAAGTGAAAAATTCTAGTATACAAGCAAGTTATGTACACTTTCGTTTAGTACATAAACCCCGTTAATACATAACATTTGTCAAGTCCCAGAGATTATGTATTAACGAGGGACGACCTGTATGTGAGGGGTGGTCAAGCAAACACGCGTACAAACAACCAGCCATAACTCAAGTTCTGTGAGTTGTAGGTATGGGTAAACTATATATTTTCAAAATCTGTATGCCTGGACGAGCCCAGAAAACACAAATATGACTATGTCCAGGCAAGGGTATGACCCGTGGTAGCCCTTCAAGTTGAGAGAAAATACAATTGCGAACAAAAAACACAAAAATCACAGCGCGAAGTGCATACCAAGTTCGTGATGGAGCTGAAGTCCTATGATAAACAATCAGGTAAGCGCTACGTCTTGGTGAAGAATATATGCTCCTAATTCCGTCCTTGAACTCCAATACCTCGCCATCGGCGATGCACCAGCAGCAACAGTTCCACAATATCACAATTTTGGTTCGTTCACTTCAGCTCCGCTCGCGTCAGATTCACTCTCGCTCAAATGAGTACTCAGGCGCGATGTCACGCATGCCGTGATTCTCACGGCCAGGCGGATCAGCTGATCACACCTGACAAGTCCTTGTAAACGTTGCTGTTGCTGTGCTTCCTCGCTGGTTGGTAAATTTGATTTCTTCATTCGGGGACGATTTATTTGAGCTAGGAGGACTCAACGGAGCTCTCTTTCTCACGACATTACACTGGAAATCCTCCAGGGACACCCAGCCTAGACTGGTGCCGTCAGTGTCCTCAGAAAGCTTTTCTGACACGGCCTCAAGAGATGCACTCCCATTCGCGAAATGCGCGCATGGCGGATGGTCGTCTTTTCCAATTTCACCAGACTTCAGTCGATCGATACTGCAAAAATTTGTATGGTAAGTATGGTTGTTTTTTACACCGTTGGAAAGCCTTGGACCTCAGCTATGCGTGGAGCACCATTTTAGTTGTCTCCTAGCAACAAAACTCACAGAAAATGCGACTTTACTGTAAAGCTGTGTTCACAACTGGCGCGTGTACGCGTGAAATCACGCGTTTGTGCGTATTTTTTGCTGGCTTTTGGGGCGCCATGCGTACGGAAACGCGCCGAAATGGAACTTCCAACATGTTGGAATTTTCAGCGCGTATCAGGCGCGTATCAGCGTACATGCCAGTCACTTTGACTGGCGGGGTCAAAAAATTAGTACTCGAAGGTGTCGCACGCGCCAAATACGACTCGGATTGCTGTTTTTTGTGAAAGGCTGAGCGCGCGTTTGGGGGCGCATGAACCGCAAGCGTACCGCGTCCACGCGCCAGTTGTGAACACAGCTTAAGGGTCACATACGACCCTTTCGCTTATGTGAGACCCATAAAGGGTTAACTTCCCCTTTAATACGCCCTCTACTAGTATACCCGTGTACACACCCAAGTGCCGTGTGTCAACACTCTTGTCTCATTTTTTTACCCACCTCCGTGTGAACGCCCATGGGCGACATCACAGGCCCAGTACACAGTGCAGTGCATGCACAGCTCCACGTGCATGTACAGTACTGCAGTGTAGTGTACAGTACACAGACTCAGTGCAGTGCATGCACAGCTCCACGTGCATGTACAGTACTGCAGTGTAGTGTACAGTACACAGACTCAGTGCAGTGCATGCACAGCTCCACGTGCATGTACAGTACTGCAGTGTAGTGTACAGTACACAGACTCAGTGCTGTGCATGCACATCTCCACGTGCATGTACAGTACTGCAGTGTAGTGTACAGTACACAGACTCAGTGCAGTGCATGCACATCTCCACGTGCATGTACAGTACTGCAGTGTATGTAGTGTACAGTACACAGACTCAGTGCAGTGCATGCACATCTCCACGTGCATGTACAGTACTGCAGTGTAGTGTACAGTACACAGACTCAGTGCAGTGCATGCACATCTCCACGTGCATGTACAGTACTGCACTGCAGTGTAGTGTACAGTACACAGACTCAGTGCAGTGCATGCACATCTCCACGTGCATGCACAGTACTGCATGCTGTTACGCAGTGGACATCTAACAAGATGGCGGCGAAAAGTTTGAAAACGCTGCGGATTTACTGAAATCCTATCGACTTAGTACAAAATGTATAGAATTATATAATTTCGCCGGATTTAGTACTTTCTTTCGGTAAAGTCGGTCTAAACCCAAATATTTTTTGAAACGACAAGGAAGTAAGAACAGAAGTCTTGCTGTCGAAAACATCAAGAAGAAGAATTATTATTGGAGGAAGTAGAAGTGAACAGTTAGACCTTACCTCTCTGGCTTTGCGTGTAGTCAGTGTTATGGCGGACTGGCTGGTTGATCTGCCTGCGATGGAGCAGTCCGCTGCCTCGATCGAACTTTGGGCCGTTGATCTGCAACGTCTGGCAGGGTGCATACGAGGTGTTGTTCTGCAACAGCATGCAGGCGCTCAAGCTCGCCGGGAATGGAACCGTATCTCTTCTCCAGCAGGTTGAACTCGGCGTGAATTCCTTCCGCGCCCTGTTCCGATAGTAGACCAAGCCCGACGTGCACTCTCCGCATCAGCGGCACAGTGTGTTCCTCAAGGAGGTGCAGCTTTGGAGTGATGTGACCTAAGCCTCTCTCCACCACCTCGCTCCGACATTTCTGTAAGAACGAGGCAATGGAGAGCTCCAATTGCTGCAGTTCCTCCTCTCCACATTTGTTGCAATGGCTGAAGGAAGATCTGCACGCTGCGTACTGGCTGAACAGGGACTTGTACCGCTCACTGACTACTTGAGCGTCATTCCGCAGAGCTGGGCACCGATCTCCAATGACAATTGCTGGGGCCTCAGTGATAGCTGTGATCACGGCGGGCTTGAGGGCACGGTGGATATGGTTCCCTACGAAAGCACCGCCGTGATAGGCCTGCCGATGGATAATGTTCTTCTGCAGTACTGGCTCTATGGACGCTTCGCACGGGCCGAGAACATCCTTGCTGCGGCGCAACTTGGCCAGTTCGTCTTCAGCAATCTTCAGCTGTGAGCTACACTGCTCTGTGTCGGTCTGTGCTTGCTCAACCTCCCGTTGTAGCACGCCTGCGAGTGCTTCTATCGCCATGCCCTGTTGCTGGCCAAACAAGACGATGAAGTGCAGATGATTCTCCAGAGCGGTGGCTTTCGCTGTTGCTTCCGAGAACGCTGTTTTGCAGCCAGACAACTTGTGATTTGCAGCTGACAAGGCTCTAAACCGTCCACTGTCTTGCTCTTCAGCGTCGCATTGTTCTGCAAGCTGCATGTCCAGAAGACGGACCTCGCGTGTGAATACATCAAAGATCCACGGGAATACACCGAGGTCTAGGTGCAGCACTGGAATAATGGCGCTCGCAACGGGCACTGGCAATAGGACTGGTCGGATGGTGTTGTTATACAGCTTTGCCTTTGACAGCAGAGCACCTGCGCTAGTAAACTGTGCATAGTCCTCCGCCATCTTCTCTAAGGACCGTGCTCCATACTGTACGTCGCGGTTCGCTGGTGGGACCTGCATGTCTTTCTTCGTGCACAAGCAATGGAGGCAAGGCCTTACGCCACTGGAACCCGACAAGCCGTAGTTCATGGTTTGGTACTCGTAATCACCAAACAGATAAGGCACAATGGTCTTGCCTTTCCATTTCTGGCCCTGTAGCTCTGCAATTTGGTTCCGATACATTGAGAGTGCAGTTTCCAGGTTTGCCGGCAAGTCCTTCTCTGCAAACACGCAGATTGGCACAGTGTTGGCGAGTGAGTTTGGATGCATGGTGTTGGCGATTTGCATCACGAATTTAAATGTTGTCTTACCATGGTCACCGCCCAGCTTGACCCATATCTCCGTTTCTGGGATGGCGCCATCATGCCATGTCAGCTTACTGCCGCTGTCAAGTATGTCGAGGTAGTGGATAATGATGTCGGTTAGGTTTGGAAAGTAGACAGCTGCAGCAAGTGACAACTCGCCAGTCCGCTTGACAAAGGGGAGCTGCTTCACTGTGTATTTCGGCAAGGTGGTGGCTATGAATGAGCGAATGCTTCTCTCCGATTCAAGCTGAACTCCGAAGGAGCGGAGCCATCTGCGCAGCTTCCGGAGTTGCGCCCAAGGAAGGCTTAGATCGGCCTTGATGGCAAGGGCAGTGCCTGGAGGTGGTTTGATGCTGGTAGCGCCAAGTCCAGCAACGCCATGCCGTGTTGCATCTGCTGTGGTGCAAACTGTCTCTGTGATGCGCTCCATTTCCAGTGACCGTCGTTTCAGCGTCCTGGCTGATGCCTCCTCCGGCTGCTTGCTGCCAACTGTTGTTCGCATGAAAACTTGCGGTCTTCCTTGGCTGCTGGTTTTCACTTCCAGCCTCCCATCTTCTGCTTTGGCGGACACAAGGTGACAGGTCAGTCTGTCACTCACATCGCCCCGTAGCTTTGATGGTGACGCTGCTAAGATCTCCTCCACTGTTGCAGCTTTGGTTGCAGTACGAATGGGCGTTCCTGAGGATGTGGATGGATTGAACGGACATGATGTGACATGACCTCGTAATTCATGGAGGCGAACGGTTGCTGGGCAACCCGACAATGCTGGTTCATGGAAGTCACAATGTACACCCCACTTGCTAACCATATTGCACACTAGCTTGCATGGCTTCTGCAGTGTCGCCAGTGCCATTGGCTGTCTGCATACTGGACATGTATTGTGACTCTTCATCCACGTGTGCACGCATGTTGAGCAGAATATATTTTCACAGCATTTGGCTTGAACTGCTCCATTTACCACTTGCAAACATATCATGCATTCCTGCACAGCTCCACTGTCAATAAACCGCTCTTTCTCTAATGCTGCTTCAGCCCGATACATAGGCGCTGCGTGCGCCGAAATCTCGTCCAAAGTAACTGCGGATGTTTGACTATCAGTGGTGTGTGCTATTGTGTTGGTGTCACCGCTGCTACTGCTGCTGGTGCGTCTTTGCTGAGAGCTAGGACTGCCTTCTGGCAGTTCAGCTGATGTTGATGCCGTTGATGTCTGTCGTTTTGCCGCTTGGCCACGCAGTTCACTGACGGCTTTCCGTTTCGGTGGACGGCCGCCCTTGGCTCCTACAGCATCACTCTTACATACGGCACAGTTAGATCTCGTATGTGGTTGCCATGTAACTGGGCCATTGCAGCCCCCACTACAATACTTATATGTGTCATCTCTCATTGAACGTGCAATAGCAAATTGACAAAGTGAGCACATGTACTGGGGATGCACGTCAGGGGAATCTTTGGAAACATCAATTTTAAAAACTTTGCCGATCTCTTCAACATAATTCTTCACCGGATATGGAGTTTTGTGACTAGCACTGGCAAGTTTTTGGCCACCAATGCGACACACGGATTCAAGAATACTCGAGTGGTGCTCCATCGCAGAGCAGAAAGCAACAAACAAGGCTAAAATGTCGATGCGCGATCGAGACTTCCTTTGCGCGATCTGGGACAAGAGCGCGATTTTCGAGATATAGAAGGTCTCTAGTGCCACCAAAAACACAGCAAGCAGCTGCGAAAACTCGGCGCCGGGATGTAGGCAGCAATGAAAGTAGAGCAGTTTTGGGAATCGAAAGAACAAAGGACGTGGAGGCGACATGGCGACAGAAACCTGTCGCCTCTTGGGAAAGACGATCCAAAAGGCATCAATGCGTTCCTTGAAGCTTCCCCTGGACGAAAATCGCGGTTGTATGGTAAACCGTGTCGATGGGAGACGATAGGAGCCAAAATGGCCTGGATACCAACGTGAAAAATGCAATTCTCAGCTATTCTCTGGGGGCCGTCGCGTTCAAAAATTCAAAAAGTTTCAAAAAAATGACGCCATTTTGAATGTCCGATTTTGTGATCTACGTAACAGCCGTGCGCGCATGCAGTGTAGTGTACAGTACACAGACTCAGTGCAGTGCATGCACATCTCCACGTGCATGTACAGTACTGCAGTGTAGTGTACAGTACACAGACTCAGTGCAGTGCATGCACATCTCCACGTGCATGTACAGTACTGCAGTGTAGTGTACAGTACACAGACTCAGTGCAGTGCATGCACATCTCCACGTGCATGTACAGTACTGCAGTGTAGTGTACAGTACACAGACTCAGTGCAGTGCATGCACATCTCCACGTGCATGCACAGTACTGCAGTGTAGTGTACAGTACACAGACTCAGTGCAGTGCATGCACATCTCCACGTGCATGTACAGTACACTCGGACGTCTCTTATCCGGGCACCTTGGGACCGGGCACTGCCCGTATCTCAGATTTGCCCGTATCTCAGGATAACTCATCTACCATGTATCATATCATTTTTGAAGAAGTTTATTTGGAACGTATTGCACATGTTCAGGATACAAAAGGAACCCATTGATAAAAATGTGTGGAATACATAGGTTGGCAGTGAATAATAAGCACTTCCTCATACGGAAAAAAGTTCAAAACCCCCAAATTCGAAGCATTTGTGCTATAGGAACTCAAGCTGAAGGTGCCCGGTAGAGAGACGTGCCCGTATCTGAGGCGTCCGGATAAGAGGCGTTTGAGTGTACTGCAGTGTAGTGTACAGTACACAGACTCAGTGCAGTGCATGCACATCTCCACGTGCATGCACAGTACTGTAGTAGAAGCATAGTGTACTGTGCACTGTGCTAACCTTATACGTACCTGTAGCAGTACTGCATGATGTGAAAATTAGGATGATATCATTTATCCAAAATAGCACCCGGGGCCCACAATAGCGCTCATGTTCTTGACCTTCACCGACGTTTCCGCCCAGGGCCTTATCACGGGCTTTTACGGTACTCTAATTTCAGAACTTTTCGGTGCTCGATATTTTCGATATGAGGGCAAAGGGCCAGGTTAGGTGAACAGAAATTTTAGGTACAGAGAAGCAGCTCCCTATTGGATTATGTGTGTCGGTGTTTGTGTGTTTGTTCGGTGTATTGAAATTTTAGTTTTAGGTATGAAACAGATGCACCGAAAGTACCGAAAATAAAAGTACACCGAAAATTTGAGAAATTACAGTATATGCTTTGTATGGAATGGTAACCAGTGCTTATGATGCCAAAATGATGTTGTAATGATGTTGTAATGATGTTGTAATGATGTTGTAATGATGTTGTAATGATGGTGTAATGGTGTTGTAATGATGTTGTAATGATGTTGTAATGATGTTGTAATGATGTTGTAATGATGTTGTAATGATGTTGTAATGATTAGGCCGCACCGAAAAAGTCCTTTGTTTCGGGTAACGACTTGCGTGCCAATCAACAATATCAGGTGACAAAACATGATATAAATTAGCAACCAGAAAGTAGCCATGCAATCATATAATTTTCTTTCAGCTCTCATTGCTCGCGCTAATTAGGGGGTAAGGTGCTACTTGCATTGTGCGTATTTATATTGAGTTTTGAATTAATTTTGATTTGCCAGTAATCCTTTTGAAGAGATGGCCACGAAAACGTTCAAGGAATAATTTACATGAAAACAAGATTGGCTTATGGTGTTTGTACTGAGTGCGCAGCTTGCTCTATTTATTGCGTTAGTAATCATTAGGGTGAAGAGAAAAGGACCTATAAGAGACGATTTATGACTAACAGTCCACCAAGGCAACGAGATAATGTACAGTCAGATAGTGGGACAACAAGGCACAAAACTGACAGAGGCATTGGGACATTGAGACAAAGATAGTATCTCCAAAGTTATAGGTCCTTTTCTCTTTACATATTACTATAGGCTCACCATCCGAGTTTTATTAATCATTCTGGTCTTGTTCTCGGCATTGCTTTACTTGCCCAGGCCCAACCGGTACGCTGCGGCCGCCGAAGAGAGTCGCACGGCCTCGCTGGAGCGTGAGGTCAGCCAGCTGAAGCGTGCCTTGGAGAGAAGCGACCGCTGCATCGACGATCTACGCCAGCAACTAGCCACCTCCGCGTCGTCGTCATCATCACCGTCGTCAATGGCAAGGCACATGCCACCGAGGGTTGCCACAGTAACTAATAGTTCTGGTTCTGCCGTGGCAACGAAGGCTATTCCCACGCCGGCCACTCCGCCGGCCACTCCACGCAAGCGTCGTGCCGAAACGCAGTCACACGAGAGCAGAGGTCTCTCTGTAGGCATGGCGGCAGGCGCTCTGGCGCGTAGCAGCTGTGCAGCATTGCCATGGAAGCCTCTGAAGCTGGACTTTTCTGGAAAGGATGAGACAGTTGATTATTCGCCGGTCTTGTCTGTTAGGACATTGTGTGATGGAAGCTCTTCGGGTTCTCCTTGTCTGAATCCTGCTGTGGCGAATAGCCCTGCTTCCAGCGCAGCGCTAATGATGCCACCTGCTTTGCCGCCGGCTGCGGGCTCTAATCTTACTAATGAATGTACTGATAACATTGCGTTGTGGCCAGGGACGGCTGGGTTATCCGCACAGGCAGCCTTGGGGACGGCTGGGATATCCACACAGGCAGCCTTGGGCACCGCGGCGCAATCAACAACTCTTTCGCTGGCCGCAGCCATGGACATTGCACCGCAGCCAGCAACGGCCGGAGTAGCCACAATAACGGGCTTTGCACCGCGGCCAGCAACAGCTGTGAACACTACGGCAGGATTATCAACAGCTGTGAACACTACGGCACGACCAACGACTCTTACATTGGCTGCAGCACGACCTGCCACAGCTGGATTATCAACAGCTCACAATATTGCAGCACATCAAGCAATGGCTGGACTATCAACAGCTATGAGCATTGCAACGCGACCAGCAACGGCTGGACTATCAACAGCTATGGGCATTGCAACGCGACCAGCAACGGCTGGACTATCAACAGCTATGAGCGTTTCAGCACAATCAGCAGCACCACACCTGGTAGCGGCTTCGCGAACAGGACTCGAGGCGCGATGGGCGCCAATCCACAACTCAGCCGCAATGGTGACACCATCTTTCACTGTCGGTAGACAAGAAGGAGCCAGCTACCCTACCAACCACCCTGTCTCGATGCTTGAAGGAGCCAGCTACCCTACCAACCACCCTGTCTCGATGCTTGAAGGAGCCAGCTACCCTCCAAACCACCCTGCCTCGATGCTTGAAGGAGCCAGCTGCCCTCCAAACCACCCTGCCTCGATGCTTGAAGGAGCCAGCTGCCCTCCAAACCACCCTGCCTCGATGCTTGAAGGAGTTGGCTGCCCTCCAAACCACCCTGCATCGATGCTTGATGGAGTTGGCTGCCCTCCAAACCACCCTGCCTCGATGCTGGTAGGAGCTAGCTGTCCTCCAAACCACCCTGCCTCGATGCTGGAAGGAGCTAGCTGTCCTCCAAATCACCATGTCTCGACTGTTGATGACTGGGCTGGACCATGGTATTTTAGTCAGCAACAATAATCCTTCAAAACTGGATTTTAGTTCTGTTTGTTTAGATTAACTGTGTGTACTGGCACCGTGGACGCTTAGCATGGTTATTGAGAAGATGTTGTTTTTGCTGTCTTTTAGTCTCGCAATTGTGTAACGGTATAAGTACGAGTGACTACACCACCGTACTTGTGCCGCGCTCTGCCCTCGTCATGCTGCAACCCTAGCATGTTCCCCGGTCCATTCTCTCTGACAGTGAATCTCTCCTTCCGCTTCCTGTCTTGTTCTTGTCACCGTCGCCATTTTTGTTGTTGTTGTTTTGTTTTTAATGTGTCCAGGCCTCCTTTACGGGCAAAATAAACACAATGAAAAGCCCCGCTGATTTGCCACTGCTCCACTAACTCCCACATCTCACGACATCCTTGTCTCACTACATCCTTGTCTCACGCCATCCTTGTCTTTTATCCGTATGTGTTACTCCCGCCTGGCTATTGCAAATCACTTTCTGTCTGGCGTATCACACTTCACAGCTCGTACTTGTACATATGTATGATACTGTACGACATCTGTACTGTACTATATTCTGTACTGTACGACATCTGTACTGTACTGCATATGCTGCACTGTATGTGGTAGTTTAAGTTAACTCATTGCAAGCACCGGTTGTGCGTGTCTTGGATAGCTGTTGGAACTCATAGTGCTGATGCTACCGGCACTGCCCCTGTTGCTGCCGTCACTGCTGTTGCGGGCTGCAGCTAGCTGTAATGTGCTGCGAGGTGTCGGTTTGGCCGGTGTACAGTTGGTCTTGGCACTTCTCTCCTGTCTTTTACTAACACTATCGCTCAGTGCAGTGGTTGTGCTGATGGCATCATCACGGATGCATTGTAATATTATTGTGTGGAGTGGCAAGTCCGTGCGTGTGATGTGTGTGCCCCTCCATGTGACTGGTGAGGCAACCATGTAGAGATAGTGATATCCTCTGCCGTAGACTCTCTCTCTCTCTCCCTCTCCCTCTCGCTGAGCACTGAATCAGTGAAGTGCTGGTGAATGACTGGTGCCAAGAGAGTTTTTTAAAGACTGTACTCTTGCTGGTACATGTACTTGGTAGATCTACAATGAAGAGTATAATTAAAAGTAATTACCGGTAGTAATTAGTTTATTAAAACCCCCCATTGGGTATACCAAGAGTAATCTACTCTCAAAGATTTAAGTAGTTGGTTGCTACAATCAATGAACAGATGAATGTACAGCAGGGAGTCGTACTCAAACTAGGGAGGTGACACGGCACAGAAATCCGTGTCACAGGGGTTGACTCGCACCCGTGACCCCTCGTTGTTATTTTTGGAATAGTTCAGTCCAGTCCAGTCCGAAAGGTCATACTCGGTTCGACTCGCCTTCTGTACTTCACCTCCAAGCGTGCAACGCAAGACCCGCAAAGTATGATTTTTCTGTGGCGAACGATTTTGCCATTGATCAAGTTTTTATTGGAGTGCTCAGGCATACTACGATTGCTCAGACGTCCCGAGCACGCTTGTTCAGGTTCTCTATTTTTGACGAGCCGGTCCTACAGCCCCCTATTGTATCTAACGACGTAGGAGCTGACAATGTAAGAGGATTTCCCTGGAAATAATGATGATGGTGGTGTGACTGCTGCAGGAAAAATGCTGGCTGTTTATGACAGAATGACTAGATGTACATGTACAATGTAGCTCTCTTGTATGGTACTTAACCCCTGCTATAAATGTGTTATTTAGGAAGACTGGTGTATTGTGCAAGTCATAAAGAAGAAATGGGGCAGATACACGACTTACAATTTTCAAAAACCAGCTTCGTGTTATGTGTAATTTGTGTCAAAATTGTAGTATTTAGACATGACAATATCATTGGCTGTACTTCTCTTATATGGTACTTAACCCCTGCTATAAATGTGTTGTTTAGGAAGACTGGTGCATTGTGCAAGTCATAAAGAAGAAATGGGGCAGATACACGACTTACAATTTTCAAAAACCAGCTTCGTGTTATGTGCAATTTGGGTCAATTTTTAGTATTCGGATTAACCTAGGATACGACTCTGAAAAGTTCTGAACAGTTACCGCAACACTACACGCCGTTTCATAACTGCTGCTGTTGCCATCACTGCTATCAAGTAGTTCCGACATGGCAGGAGCTAAACAAATTGCTGGTAGTCTTTCAAAGAATACTGGCGAGTGATGGGCTGTAAACGAAATGTGCTGCCTCAATAATTTCAAAAAACTAGACACCCATGCGGCACGGCACGCTTGGAGGTGAAGTACAGAAGGCGAGTCGATCCGAGTATGACCTTTCGGACTGGACTGGACTGAACTATTCCAAAAATAACAACGAGGGGTCAAGGGTGCGAGTCAACCCCTGTGACACGGATTTCTGTGCCGTGTCACCTCCCTAGTTTGAGTACGACTCCCTGATGTACAGTCATGGTGGGTGGCGCACCGGATCGGACCGGTGTCAAACGATCACGTGTACACAGTCCGTGTATACACGTGTCGCGCACACTTTTCAAAATCAAAACACTCAACTCGTTTTTCAATTTCATTTACTTCTCTTTCAGAGCTAGCTCTGTTGCAAATAAGTTACATGACATTGTATTTGTATTGTTGAGGCAGCACTTACAATGCGTAGAAAGCTGAAGCGGGTATCGCCAGCAGGCTACAGCGGCTGCTATTATTTACTCACTGATTGGCGAGATGCAGACGAAGCCGGCTTCGATCTGCTGCTGACCGATGGAAGACAAGCATGGAAATGCCAAGGTACGAGAAGAAGCTGCAAACGAAAAGCACTTGCACTGATAAATCCCTGTTCACCTATACAGTGACATTCTGTTGTCCAAATAATAATTTCTAAAACTCACAATCTCAACAAAGTGACAATCTGAAGTCGAAATTTGAAAAAAAATGTTCACAATCTCAACAGCGACACTCTGTTGCCCGAAGTTGGAAAAGGTCCCAATTTCTACAATGCGTGTAGACAGTGTCCTGTCTAGTTACCGAGCTTTTCAGCTAGCTAGCTGCTGCCACAGTGGATTGCTTCGATACTAGCAAAGTAAAGAATTTAAAGACAATCATGTGTCGCATCCCTGGCTCTCAGTGACCGAACCCAGAAATCACTACAAGCGGCGACTGAATAGACGTGTGGCCTCACGACAAGCCCAACACAACCTAGGGGCCATCCAATATAGCTGGCTTGGTCCAATATAGCTGGCTGGGGGTGGGGGTGGGGGTTGGGGGTACCTGGGGCAAAGGGTGGTCTGGTCAATACCGTAGTGACTGAGGGTGGTCCGGTCAATACCGTAGTGACTGAGGGTGGTCCGGTCAATACCGTAGTGACTGAGGGTGGTCCCGTCAATACCGTAGTGACTGAGGGTGGTCCCGTCAATACCGTAGTGACCGTTGCGTGGCCGAGATCAAGTTGATGATGGCTGTGTGCACTGTGCAGCTTCACCACTCAGTAGTGCTGTTACATGGTGCTACTGCTTGTCTGTCCAGAAACAGTAGCGTGTCACTGATTGTGCATTTTAGGTCCAGTGATGGCCATCATCCGGCGCTCACGGATGTCGCATTCTCTTATATCTTGAATGGAACTCTTGATGTGGCATAGAGGCTAGGCGATTGCGTCATCATTACACCATCATTACGCCATCATTACACCATCATTTGAGGTGCTTTGCATGGAGTGGCAAAGAAGTGGCGCAGTAACGAGCACAACCACGGGTTTGCCGTTCAAAGCTAGCACTGTTTGCGTGGCTTGCAAGTTGCCATTCTTTGCAAATTTGACATTCAAATCTTAATTCAAACTTGCACTGGTTTCCACTCCATATGTGCTAACGTGTGCTCAATACAAATTAATGCACGATGACCGCATTTAATATTTGCGTACGAGAGAGCTTGGAAGCTCAGGGCCCTACGCTATGCTTTTTTGCCTTGATGACCTAGACAAAAAAAGCATAGGGATGTTATAAATTCTAAAAAAATCCTTTTTTAAAGACATAACCTGGGATTCGAACCCGCACTATCGCGCGCCCTGCATGCATATCCCGATACACTTCGCGTACTGTAGAGGCAGAAAATTTCGTCGGTCAATAATTTCGTCCACCTCCAAAGAAAAGGAGTTCGTCCGGTTGAAAATTTCGTCCATGGATCATAAGAGTGTATAGAAACGCTGGACAAATCGATATTCGTCCTACATTTAATTTAGTCCAAAAGCTCCTTGGACGAAAAAGACGAAATTAAATTCCAGACAAATATTTCTGCTTATACAGTACATACTAATTCTTCAAAGTTGCTTCACGTTATGATCTTGCATTTGAAAGCCCTATTTGAATATGCATTGTGGCCAGCCGTCTTTGATGGTACGGTACGGTACGGGACAGGTACGATCGAGGGTAATACGATACCGTCTACCGCCTTGATGACGGCAAAAAAAGCATAGGGATGTTATAATTTTTTTAATTCTCCTATTTTTATCAGGCATATCCTGGGATTCGAACCCGCACTATCCCTCTACATGCATTCCCCCATACACTTCGCTTTCATACCCATTCTTCCAAGTTGCTTCACGTTATGATCTTGCGTTTGAAAGCCCTATTTGAATATTGCGGCCAGCTGTATGTGGCCAGCTGTGTTTGATTGTACGGTACGGTACGGGACAGATACGGGATAACGCCAGGCGTGACACAAACACACAAACAAACACACAAATACCAAATTAAAGCTGTGTGGACCCTGGCTAGCGCCAGACGTTACTGAAGTAACGTCTTCTGCATAGCTACGGGATTAAGCCTCTATTATTGTAGTCCAGTGAATATTGTAGCTTGGTGAAAATTTGCCATGTTTTGTGTGTTTGTGCGTGTGTGTGTGTGTGTGTGTGTGTATGTGTGTGTGTGTGTGTGTGTGTGCGTGTGTGTGTGTGTGCGCATGTACGTGCGCATGGGTACGTGTACGTTCCCCGTATGATACCAGTGAGCCGTGACAATCTGCATCAGATGGCATGTGACGTGGACCGTGATCTGTTTGACTATTGTGCCGAGACTCGACAAGCCCTGGCGTCATCACCAACGGACGATAGCGACGACTTCGACTTTGAAATCAAACCGTCCGGCCATCGAGTTCAGGTAGGGACCACGGCAGTTAAGCTTCGGTTTGTTTTCATTGGGAAGACCCACACTTAGCAAGCCGTGGTTGGCTATAAAAACCCTGCAATCGCCACGCAAAGTGGTCATTGGCTACCCCAGCCATGTATTGCTTGGAATAAAATAAAATAATAGCACTTCACTATGATGGAGATGTGTTAGAGCAAGGTGTCAGGTCGTTGAAGGTCTCAGTAGCCTGTCAGTTTGTGTGCCCTGTTATCGCACTTTCTGACTGTTTATCATCTTGTTACAGTCGTGGATAGTTGCTTCATAACTTGTTCCCATGTTTTCTCTTCTATTTTACATACCTATGAACTCACCTTTCAAGGACACCCAATGCCATGCAGTGTATTGCAAAACATAGATACTGGGTAATAGATGTGAAAACATGTGTGAGATTTCTGGACTGGCTTACTAGTATCTAGTGTACGATCATGTACAATCTAGCTAGCGGCATGTCTAGCATTCGATGATGTCATGTACACTCTTGCCAGCTCACCATGGTCTTTGCAGTCTCGTGGGATATTCTTTTGAATTTTTGTGGAAAGGTTCGATTGATCCACCTGCTCGTGTAGTCCGTGAAAGCTTGTGGATTCTCAAGCGAATGCTGCACCCTTTCTATCGTATGCCTGTGTGTGTGTGTGTGTGTGTGTGTGTGTTTGTGTGTGTGTGTGCGTGCATGCGTGCGTGTGTTTGCACGGCTGCGTTCAGTTAACGTGGAAGAAGAGCATTGCAGGCGATGATGTCAAGGTATGTATGTATGTACCACTTATCAACTAATCAGTAGGCATGTACACTGTACTGTTGATCACATGACCCCACATGGCATGGCATGATGTCATCGCATGATGTCATTGCATGTCATATCAGAGGATGTGATTACAGTGAAACTGTCCAAGGCAACTACTGCTCAAGGGACTACTGCTCAAGGGACTACTGCTCAAGGGACCATACAGATGTGTGGTCCCCATGTACAGCTGGTCTTCTTCTCCAGGGTCACTTGACATACGTTGGTCCTGGTTGTAGTGGTCCTCTGGGATAGGCCCATCACTGATCAGGATGTTACTCCTTTACTCAATAAGTAGACAATAAAGCACCTATGTTCAATACCAAACAGCGTTCAGTACATGCGTCTGTATTCTGTACGCGCGTCTGCGATATGAAATACTGGGTTCTTGACTGGCAGAGGTGCACGGAGTTTTGCATGTGCATGTGTGCTGCGTGTGTGTGTTGCATGTGTTGTGTGTATTCCATGTGTTGCATGTGTTGGGTGTGTGTGTATGCGTGTGTGTATGCGTTGCACGTGTTGCGTGTGTTGTTTGTGCTGTGCAGTTCAAGTTGGGAAGCCTGCTGCTTGTCGCATGTCCTGATTCCGGCGATGTAGTGTGTCGAATGTTGGACTTTGAAGTCGACCAGACTTCTCACCTACACGTAAGCACCTGTGTGTGTGTGTGTGTGTGTGTGTGTGTGTGTGTGTGTGTGTGTGTGTGTGTGTGTGTGTGTGTGTGCGTGTGTGCGTGCGTGTGTGTATGGGAGTTCCGACTCAGCCACGCGGTCCTGCTTGTGATCCGACTCCCATTTTCTGGTCCCCTCTTCATAGGGGTGACACTTGCCCATCTGGGCAGTCATGCTGCTAGTAGTAGTAGTAGTAGTAGTAGTAGTAGTAGTAGTAGTAGTAGTAGTAGTAGTAGTAGTAGTAGTAGTAGTAGTGTGTATGTGTGTGAGTATGCATTTGCAAATTGTGAAAGCTCAAGTCGTTTGCTGTGTTGTGTCATCCAGCTGAGAGTGCGTGTTGTGAATCATCTACTTCAGTATCACTATCGTTGTGTATGCAGTAGCCCTGAAAGTGGCAGCCTGGTTGGTCTGGTCTATTTACTACATGTACTTCACAGTAAAACCTGTAACTAAAGACCACCGTGACTAGCGACCAGCCTGGTACTACAGTAAAACCTGTAACTAAAGACCCCCCTGACTAGCGACCAGCCTGGTACTACAGTAAAACCTGTAACTAAAGACCCCCCTGACTAGCGACCAGCCTGGTACTACAGTAAAACCTGTAACTAAAGACCCCCCTGACTAGCGACCAGCCTGGTACTACAGACCACTTCGCCAGGCACCAACCGTCTCACATTCATGTATGGTTGTGCGGTGCAATCCTCTAACTAAGGATCACCCGCCACTATAGACCGCTTTCTCTGGCCCCAAGGGGTGGTCGTTAGTCATAGGTTTTACTCTACTTTGAAACGTGATCCTTGAGTATGGTATCTTCTCGACGGCAGAGCGCAGCAACAGAGGCGAGAAGTATTTTCTCGTCACAGCGGTTTTTCTTGTGTTTTTCTCACAAGTGAGCAGTCATCTGATCAATTTTTTTAATCGTACATTTTCCCATCTTCACATGTTCTCTAGTCCGCTGCGCATGAGCACGGCTGGCCAGTCGTCTTGAGTTGAGGTACCCACCCTCCCTCCCTGTTTTTTGTACTTGTCAAATTAGGCTCTCCAGTATAGCCACTTGGGGTTTTACACCCGTTTTTTTCCCTAAAAAAATAATGCGTCCGTCGGCGCGAGGGTTTTTTCCCGGCTGGCTCGGCTCAGACGAATTAATCTGACAGTCCCAAGTGGTGCTTCTGGTTTTTCGGTCATTGCTCTCTCAGTTGCTGCCATTGCGTTGCTTTCATAGAATATACGTGTGCTCTGTCACTTCTTCCGCTATCCTGCAATTCCGCATCCTTCAATGTAAAGAACGTGGTGTCACACTTCTGGCCCTCCTAACCGCAATACATATGTGCTGTTGTTTGGTGTGTGGCGAGTGTGGCTTATCGCTGTGCGAGAATGGTGGCATTCCTGCGCATGTGGGCAACTCAGTCTAACCAAGTCTCACGCGAACCTTGACATTTATTTTGGACACGTTGAGATAATACTAACCAGGCTAATGTGGCCGTTGTCTTGCAAGAGTGCATAATACTGGATACGATAGAGGTTGCAACACCAGGTGACAGTGAAGACAAGATTGGTTCATGTTGTTACTCTAGAGTTTCGTGTCCCTTGGATAGTCGTGTGCTGTCTGCTGATCAGCTAAATGCTAAGAATAGCTCACAGGTATCACAGGCTATCACTGCGTACATCATGAGTGCACATGCACGTGTGATCTATCTATCTGTCTATCTATCTATCTCTCTCTCTCTTCATTCTTGCATCACTACTGGTTTGCAGGGCACCATCAATGACTTGGAGAATGAGAATGACCGTCTAAAGCAGCAAGCTGAAGACGTACTGCAGGTGTGTACGGTTGCATTGTTGTCCTTATGTCTGACTAATTCCCTCAATGCGTATTCCCTCAGTGCGTATCACAGCTGAAAGCTTCTGGGAAAGATGACCCAGCGCGTGAGAGCTGGTAACTTTGCGTTGCTCTGCGTGGCATAGAATTGTGTCTCGCAGCTCTCTGTTTCGCATCTACACAATCATGTACAGTCATGGACACTCACCACAGCTTGATAGAGTGCTCTGTGCACAGTCAGGACAGCTTGATCAAGTGCTCTATGTACCGAAGTCAGTGCAGAGTGGTGTAGAGGTTGTGCGGTGATTGCATGATCAGTTGAGATGAGTTGGCGATGTCGCGGCACAATATGGCTGCACTCGCACTAGTGACTCATGCTTCATACACTGCATACATAGTGCCAAAAAGCGAATCCGCTGACTCGCACTGTAGACTTAGTGCCAATAAGCGAATCCGCTGACTCGCACTGCATACATAGTGCCAATAAGCGAATCCGCTGACTCGCACTGTGGACTTAGTGCATGCTTGGCATAGTCTAAGGTTGTACCACCATATGACTTGTACCTGCACTCAGCCCTGTGCCTTGGATCTAGCTCTGGTTGCTATGGAAGCTGAGCTCCTTAAAAAAAATGCTTCTGTCTGCTCTGCTACTCGTATTTTAAAATCAAGGTGTGCTGTGCTATTTAATGTGTGCTCTGCAGAGATTGGAGAAGTGTGTTAATGAGAAGGATTCGTTGGAACAGGACTTGTTCGGAAAGGTAAGGGAAACTTTTTACCACGCAAATCAGTCACTGTGTGGATGAGTGCTGCATATTCATGTACGGTCAACCATGCGACCAACGACCCTGGATCGTGCATGGGAAGAGTATCGTTGTGTGTCATGAGGTTGATTGTACAGTATAATGTTACAAACAAGGCCGGTCGAGGCAGCTCCGAGTAGCAGTATAATGTTGTGTGAAAAATAGTAGTGTAGTGGAGCACACATACGAGCACATTCGCTCTGCTGCACGAGTAGATGGATGTGTGCCCTTCGCCAGTCACAGATAGTCTTACAGGTCCTGCCTGAGCTGGACTACCTGAGCAAGAGAGATAACAGTTACTAGTATGAGCGTGATCTCTGTTCCCGTTTCACCAGTGCCTAGTATCCAGCACGAAGGAAACATCATCCACTCGCTCACTGATGTGATGGATCAAACCAACATATCCGCAGGTTTTTGAGCTGGACCTAAAACGTTCAGCCATGCCAGGCAATATGATTTGCTAATGGACAGAGCCACCTTTACATCTTTTACCATGTAAGGTGACTAAGTTTTATGTAGAGAGTGATCATAACATGTGGACAGTGGAGCCAACATGGCCGACATCATGTGACCCATAGATGCAGGGATTGACTGGACTGGAATAGGAACCAAGATAGTCACTGAGTCCCATAATTATTATAGCAGTCATGTGACAGATGTGAGTAGCAACTCTCTATACGTGTTTAGACCAGCACTGCACTGGACACTGTGTCACTACATGTATTGTGTTGACCAGCACTGCACTGCTCTGCACTGCACTGGACACTACAGTCCATTTCAAAACTATAGACGCGTACCTAGGCAAAAATCGTTATGCCAGCATCTATACCACATAAAATCTGTGATCACTTTGTGCATAAATTTTTCCAAATTGGGCGTCTGTTATCCAATCCTTTAGAAACTATATGAGAGTAATTGTGGAGCAATCCTGAGCAATATTCCGAAAACTATTCTCAAAAAGTTCCAGCCAAATTTGAAATATTTCAAAAACCCTACGCGTCTATAGTTTTGAAATGCACTGTACATGTACACCCAGTGTGTAGACCAGCATTGGACCAGAGAGTAGTAAAATACCTACTCCCTGCTCTGGACACTACAGTACAATGTACTACACATAAAACAAGTCGTTGTATACTGAGTACCCTGAAAAAACCCAGTGCTAGTATCCAGTATACCCAGGGTGTACCCACTTGATTAACCATAAAGTACGGCTAAGTACTGTTGGCAGTGTTGCATGTGCCAATGTTTACATGTAGGTGAATGTTGAAGGGAAGGCCAGCCCTGGGGAGTAGGACGTGTTACAAACATGCACCTGTATTCCATTGCATACCAAGGTGTGCAAGTACAGTAACTACTGCAGTTGGCACATGTACCTGGACAGTTACGTTCCGTGAAATTTCCAAAGTACTAAAAAAGAACTGATACCCTGGACCAGCTCTGATTACATCACTGTGTTTGTACGTGTGTACGTCCAGCCGCATTCACACCGGGCCACGCGGCATCCATGCATATCCCACGATGCCGATGTTTGCGTTTAATAGTTGGAGGTACGACCCAATTCAAATTGATGAAATGGTTTTCATGAGGTGTTTGGAACTGTTTTCCATACACTTCAGTAGGAATAATCCAAATTTCAAGCCGATCGGCCAATTTTCCGGGTGAAACTTCCGCTGTAGTACGGGTAAAAGCACTATATGTGCCAACCTGTGGCAGTGCTCCTCGATCAATCACAGACATCTATTCATGGTATCTGTGTACTTATTCAGCATACTGTATAAGCAGAAATATTTGTCTGGAATTTAATTTCGTCTTTTTCGTCCAAGGAGCGTTTGGACTAAATTAAATGTAGGACGAATATCGATTTGTCCAGCTTTTCTATACACTCTTATGATCCATGGACGAAAGTTTCAACCGGACGAACTCCTTTTCTTTGGAGTTGGACGAAATTATTGACCGACGAAATTTTCTGCCTCTACAGTACTAGGCATTCTATTCCTTTCCCTGCCAGTTTTGTCATCATCTGCATCCGTTACTGGCATTACAACACTCTGGATAGGGGGGGGGGGTTGTACACCATGGTGCTGTTGGGACGTGACTGTGTTTGAATATGACCGTGTCCAATGGAGATCACCACTTGACCATAGTAAGTTAGTTAGTAAGTTAGTTAGTTGTCCCGGGCTAAGTGGCTCAAGACCATTATAATTATTTCTTTAGTAAGTTAGTTGTCCCGGCCTAAGTGGCCCATGTCTGCACATGCAGTACACTGCTACTGGTACCGGTACTGCACTCTACACTACAGTACTATATCTGATGATTTGTTTCATGTACATTGTATTTGTGTTGATGCTTCACAAATGTGTTATTTTTCCCCGTACAAGAGGCTCAAGGAGTTCATTCCTAAAACTTAGTAAAAGAAAAGAAAAGAAGACTTCAGTACAGTGGCACTGTACGTCTGTAGTACACACAGAGGACTGCATAGTTCTGTGTGCACACACACACTGCTCAATAGCAAGAGTATGTTCCCCGTATACATGTAGTATACATGACATGCACTGGGCGAGTGCTTGGGGGTTTGGGGTGAAACAAACATTGTTTTCAGTATAGTAGTATCACTGCTTGTACTAGTACATGACTGTACTGATGTAGTTTGCAGGTGGTGAGTTGTAAGAATGGCGGCATCTACTGCATCTACTGTGGTCTAGTGATGCCATTGTGCTGCATGCACTGTGGTCTAGTGATGCCATTGTGCATTGTGCTGCATGCACTGCAGAACAAGTGCTACTTAACCTGAGTAGAAGTATTCCTTTGTTGACCTCCCGCAGCTCCGTGCCTGAAAGAAAGGAGCATGCAGTAGTGCATGGAGGAAACCCTGTTATTAACGTTACAATACTCTACTCTAGATTGTGAGTGTGTGTTTCTTTGCCAGACCACCACTGCTGCCATAGCCATGGCTGGTGTGGATCAATCAGTTGATTGTCTTGACCTGGTCATATCTCACTCTGGCAATATTGCAATGGAAGCAGATCCTTCGGTTTAGTTCAGGGTTTGAGTGGCTGATACATTATGGATAGTGCTTCTGCCTTTGTGTTGGGTACTCATGCTAGGTCAGTGCCACTTCCATAGTGAACTTACTTGACACACTGTAGGAATAATATCAAGAGTGCATTACACCCTGAGTAAGGGGGTTTCACATACAACTAACGGAGGCTAATGCCTTTCGCCTCCGTTGTATTGTGTATGCTGCTCTGCACATTTGTGCATTGAGCACTCTGCTTCGAGCTGCCTCCGCCGGTCTTGTTTGTAACATGGGGGTATGTAGTATGTACTCTGGGTAGTATCACATAATGGACTGTGTCACTGTGTGTGTGGATTCTTAGCTACATGACACTCCAAGTACACTCTACTAGTATTTGTCCTGTCGTGTAGCTAGATGACGTCGTGCAGCCGTGTATGGTGTCCCAAGTTGTATGGATGGAGTACATTGTACATGTATGGGGTCTCTTGTATGGATGGAGTAGCATTTCCTGCATGAAACTGAATCTTTCCTTGTGACTTGTCCTGGTAGTAATGTGTACTGATCAGAAACACTATCTACTCGAGCTGAGGGCCAGTATACTGATTGATTGTGTTATAGTGTTTGTCTGCGAGACGTTTGACATTCCACACGGGACCCTGTGTCGGCTGCGAGCTGGAAGTGGAACAGTGTTTGTACAGACCAGCGACAATTTATTACGTTTGCAATTCAAGAAAACCTGATAGGTAGCCAGCTATCAGGGGAGTGTATGTGCGCAAAAGAAAACATTTGACTTCCGTTCATCAACTACATAATCGTACTCCTTCTAGGATTAGCACATTCGGTGTGTTTCTCAACATGGAACTCAGAATTCAACATTCCCAATGTCATCCTCATGTTCTAACAGACACTGATTTGATCTGGACAATCACTAGGCACACACGCACGCACGCACACACACACACGGCCCAGAAAAGCTCACTGGCGACTGAACACGTGTTACACGATGGACACTAGTCCTGTATGGGAATTAGAAAAAATAAATGAACTACATTGATGGTGGAAACCGGGTATAAGGCGAAGGCGAACACTTGAAATGATACTATCCCTCTAAGAGGGTTAATTGATCATGTCAACACGGCTTGGCTGGAAGTAGTCAAGGATAGGGTTGTAATTTAGTATAGTTTTGTTTCTTTTTCCTTCACGTCAGTAAAAAGCAATGTTCGTACAACAAGGGGGGAGCCAATAAGAATGTCCTCGTGGACATGGCGCAAACTTGGGTAGCTGGAATGCTACTAGATGTACTGTTTGTACAGTAGTCGTACCTGTATTGTGTAGACCAGTGGGTTTGTGGGTTCAGCAATAAAGGATTATGTACAAGTAGTAGTAGCCCTGTTGGGCAGTCAACTCAGCAATTCACAATCTAAGAAGACAGTTCCACGGTGTTTATCAAGATGTACATCTACTACATCTACAACTGCTAGAGGAATCACAACCTCCACGTGATTGCACTACACGTTTATAAAGCAATAGTTTGGCAATGGAGGGAACTGAACAAGGGACTCTCCCCACGCGGGAGGGGAGATAGCACTGTAATAGAACTCAACGTGAGGAACCGGAGGGCCATCTCCTTTCTTACTAACAGCTGCCAGCCATCGCACAGAGAAAGCCGAGTCTGCCGGCCTGAAACAGGAGTAGCATCAACTTGGCATGTCAGGAACGTAACTCGCAAGACAGATAACGCCGTATAAAATCTTCTCCAGGGGGTATTGTGGAGCGGCGATGCCTTACGTTGGTGAGCTGTTTCTTGAGCTGCCACCACTGCCACCTGCTTGCCTTGATTTGGGCTGGAGATCGTTTGCTTCGACGGCGTTCGGATCCGCTTGGTACGCCAGTGCCGTCATGATTCGGCCGTCGGGTACCACACGGAGCGGCCGTACGTCTCTCATCAGCTCCATGACGGGTATCTTGTGGAAGGCAATGTTCTCCACAAGCGGGTTCATCACCTGCCACATAACACAGGCACATACGCGCACACAGACACACATACACGCACAGGCCAGCAATACAGGTAGACATGAGCCAATGGGCACAACTGTGCAATAAATTCGGCAATGGACGGACACATGTGTCTCCTTATGTGTGCGAGCCCACAAGCCTAACCCACGCGTGCAAGCTAACCAGCTCAATGTACATGTACTGAATTCACTACTTGTGTACATCTATGTGTGTTGACATCGGGTGGGTCTTTTACTTGTGCCTGTAACAGTACAGCTAGACAAGCCAGGCATGTGTGTGCAGGTATGGCTGTATGCACACACCATGCCCAATCCTTACAACAGAGCAGTGTGCCTATACTACAGGCTGCTGCCGGGGGGATGACCACGGTCACCCAACAGCTTTGTCACACACTCAATCCTATCCATGTCTACCAGTTCAGTAGCTGACGAGAAAGAAGCCCTACAAGTACAACGCCATCACGAGCAAACAATGTCAGTAGACGCAATTCCGACGTACGTGCATCTATCCATTGTGCGTCTGTGGACAATGAAACATCACTACTACCAATTGCACCACAGTGCATCTATTAATCGCGTGCTGTGCCTCTGTGGTCAATCCGACGTTACTACTGCCCATTGCACCACAATGCATCGATCCATCGTGCGTTGCGTCTCCGTGAACAGACATACTGCCAATTGTACATACCCAACGTCGTCACCCTACAGAGTTACTTACGTCGCTCAGTTTCTCAGCCGCATGTTCTTCACAGTACGCCTTGCACCATTCGTGCGCCGCATGGAATTTGTTCAGCTCGGCGGTCTTCATCTCGTCGCGCGACAGGATGAGCTGGACGATGTGCTTGGGCAGCGTTGCAAACGACCTCAGACCCAGGACGGTGTCTGCATTCTCATCGATGTATTCCATCACCTGGCGAAAGAGGGAGAGAGAGAGAGAGAGAGAGAGAGAGAGAGAGAGAGAGAGAGAGAGAGAGAGAGAGAGAGAGAGAGAGAGAGAGAGAGAGAGAGAGAGAGAGAGAGAGAGAGAGGCAGAGAGAGACAGAGAGAGGCAGAGAGAGAGAGACAGAGACAGAGACAGAGAGACAGAGACAGAGAGAGAGAGGGGAATGAGAAACATATAAGCAAGACAAGATTCCATCAATCGTCGTAGAGGAAGGAGCACGTGTGCAGTACTTGATAGAATCCGCACTGATTGCATGACCTACTAGTACACGCAGACGAGAACAGCACCACTAGGTGTCTGATCAGTACTTGATACAATCCGCACCGATTGCATGCTGATCCCCACACCTGGCTCAACACTTCAGCACCACTGGATGCATGAGCCTCGTCACATGTGATCAGTAAAATAACACTCCACGGCCACGCGCATCATACGACCTGCTTCTCATTATCCAGTCACGCGATGAACACCTGCCAGCGTCAATTACTGAGAATCTATCTCCTCACCTTCTGCACTATGAGTTTGGTGGACTTGTACTGGATGTAGATTTCCGCCGAGCGTAGCAGTGGGCATACCGTGTCCGTGTTGATGCAGCGCGACGCAAAGTTCAGACATGCCTGCACCAAGAGACACATTACACAGCCGATACAGCGGCACACAGCAACAGCATTATGACCATTGCCACCTCTTATCACAGGTGTCCACCCTAGATAGTCTGTCATGTCCTAATGCAGCCCAAGAAACTAAGTTACTTCCTTTCTGAAGAAAAGAGCTGGAGCTCTGACAGTGTCATGTGCAATATTAGCTGTTGGTCACATGTCACATGTCATGTGTGACTGCCTGTGTGACTGTGTGTGTGACTGACTGTGTGTGTGTGTGTGCACCACTGCAATGGTCTGTTGCACATCACTGGGCTGAGTGATCCGCCAGACAGGCTGAATACAGGCAAGGTCACAGCCACAGCCATTATTGGCATTGAACACTGTACTGTCAGTGCTGTCATGTCAGGCTGCTGCTCTGATGCTAGACTGGTTAGGTGGATGATGTTAGGATGGTCATTATCACAAACCCAACAGTGTGTCTACTTGCATGATGATTATAGTTCCAACACAGAGCTAGTGTGTGCGTGTGTGTGTGCGCGCGCGCGCGTTTGCCATGTGGTGGCAACTCTCAGCTCCATCCCACAAGTAGTAGACTGTAGTCAGTGAGTGTACGTGTACGGAAACAGTAATCTATGGTAGAGACATTGAGTGGACACTGTCCAGTAACTCTAAACTATGCTGCTGTACATAGAACGTACTACTCCGTCACTCTGTGTGTGTGTGTGTGTGTGTGTGTGTGTGTGTGTGAGGGGCGACACGTATTGGGCCAGCTTCGGGGCTGCTCGATCGCAAGCGCGCGCAGCCGTTGTAAATGCCAAAGAGGCTTGGATTTTGAATAAGGCACAGGAGGCAACAGAGGCGCGCTTCAACGGGGCAGTCGTCTGGAAATGCGTTCATGCTATCCACGCTGCATGTGAGGGATTAACTCCGTGCAAGACTTCCGCCATTAAGGACGAGAATGGAAACCTGTGCCAGTCGACTGAGGATCAATGCAAGCGGTTCCAGAGGCATTTCACATCTGTCCTGAACCCAGAGAGCTCGTACAACCCCGATATCATGGCTTGCGTTGAGCAGCGACCTGTAGTGTCGAGCCTTGAGGAACCACCAACCATGCATGAGATCTCCAAGGCCATTTCTCGACTTCGCAATGGCACCGCTGCTGGTTCATCGAGGATACAGCCAGAGTTGCTAAAGTTCGGTGGCGAGGAGCTCAACAACAAGCTCATGGAGCTGTTTGGAGATGTGTGGCGAGATGGCTGCGTTCCGCGGGAGTGGGCGGATGCTACCCTCATCCCCATTCCAAAGAAGGGAGATTTGTCGCAGTGCGACAATTGGCGGGGCATTGCGTTGCTGGATGTGGTCGGCAAGGTCTTGGCGAGTGTCCTTCAGAGAAGGCTGCAGGTATTCGCGGAGGAATTTCTCCCTGAGTCCCAGTGCGGGTTCCGGCGAGGGCGTGGCTGCTCTGACATGATCTTCACCGTCCGACAGCTCATGGAAAAGTCAATCGAACATCAGGCCAAGGGATTTTTTGTGTTTATCGACCTGAAGAAGGCCTATGATTCAGTGCCCAGGGGGTGTCTGTGGCAGGTCCTCGGCCGTGCGGGAGTACCAGAAAAGCTTATCAACATCATCCGGTCGTTCCACGACCCCATGTCAGCATCGGTGCAGTTCAACAACATATTATCAGACCCGTTCAGCATTGGCAATGGTCTTCGCCAGGGGTGCTCTATGGCGCCGGTCCTTTTTAATATCTTTATGTGGGCCGTGATGACCCAGTGGCAACACCGCGTCAGGAGAGTTGACGGGGTTGGCTTCGAGCTCCGCTCAGCATACAGCAGCGATTTATACCGTAAACCCCGCCGTGACGACCAACACCATTGCCTAACAGATTCCCAATTTGCTGACGACTCTTGTTTATTCGCTACGACTCGGTCTGGAGCGGGGGCAGCATTGTGCTGTCTTCACGAGGTGGCGTCGGGATTCGGCTTGACCATCAGTGCAACGAAGACTCAGTTTGTAGTTGTTGGCCCCGGCATCACGCTTACTGACCGCGCTCCCCTCCAACTTGGTCAAGCGGAGGTGGAATGCGTACCGCATTTCAAATACCTCGGTTCTGTAGTGGACAGCGGTTGCCGTTCGTCCCGGGACATCGCCGCAAGGATTGCCCAAGCCTCCAGGGCCTGCGGTGCTCTTCGGAGGTCTGTATTCTCCAATCCACATCTGCTGATGCACACCAAGCGGTGCGTATTCAATGCTTGCGTTCTGTCCCTGCTGTTGTATGGCTCTGAGTGCTGGACGCCCCTTCAGCATGACCTGCAGAAGCTCTCAACCTTCAGCATGAGGTGCATCCGATCCATCCTCGGGGTCTCTCGAAGCCGGATGTGGGACGAACACATCACCAACGAAGAGCTGCTGGTGCGCTGGGGAGACTCCGAGACGATTAAAGACAAAATTGCACATCGGCGGTTGGAGTGGTTGGGGCATGTGGCGCGGATGCCGGACAACCGCATCCCAAAACAGGTACTGTTTGGCTCCTTCTTGCAGCGTCGCCCAGCACATGGCCCACGCCGCAGATGGAAGGACTGCGCTGTCCGAGATCTACGTGCCCGTGGCGTGGAGGCATCATGGTATGATGTTGCATGTGAGTCTCGCGCGGAGTGGCGCAGCACCTACCAAGAGCCTGACAATGTGCCTGAGCCTCCGCCCCGAGTGGTATGTACGGTATGCGGACGGGATTTTGCACGGAAAGGAGACATGGCTCGGCATAAGTGTCTGGAGGAGCGTGCGCGGCCTGTGTCTGAGCAGCGGGGCGCCAGTCAGTGCGGGCGGTGTGGGCGGTGGCTGAGAAGCCGCGGTGGCTTGGTCCGGCATGTGTGTGCCTCAACGGTGGATGCCGCAGTGCCACCTGGAACTACCGGAGCGTCGGCACCGGCGGAGGGATGTTGTGCCGCGCATTGTGACAGGTGTGGTCGCTGCTTTCGCGGTGTCCGGGGACGGGGAAGGCATCGCTGTTCAAGGGTGGCTCATAGACCAACAGCAGAGGAGCGCTCAGCCTTCCAGCACGTGTGCATATGCGGCAAGCGGATGCGACTACCCGTGCACCTGGAGCGTCATCGAGCGTCGTGTCCTCTCTCTCTCTCTTCTCAAGTTTCCCAGTGATGGGATCACGTGACCCTTTTGCGGCAGTGACTCTACAGGACAGGACAGGACAGGTGTGTGTGTGTGTGTGCGTGTGTGTGTGTGTGTGCGTGCGTGCGTGTGTATGTGTGTGTGGGTGCTATGTGTATACGAGTACATGACCATGTCACTAATGAGTCACTGATCATGTCACCACCACTACCAGCATCATCATTGTAATCCTGATTGTCCTGCAGTGTCTGTGCACAATCTACTGTCGTGGACATGGAAATCCAGTCGATTGACCGGGGCCGGCGCCCTCAGCGCGTACAGAACGCTGCGTGCAGTGCACATGTTGATCCCATGCGACCAGCGCGCTGCAGCGCATAAATGCATGTGTGTACCGCTTAATCCTTATCCACGGCTGCATGGCCGCTAGACGTGCGACCGGATTTCCATGTCCACAAGAGTAGTACAAGTACAGTACAATCATAGTGATTACCTGTTTCAGTTCGTCCACGCTGAAATGATCGGCAGCGTTGATGAGACCGAGTAGAGTGCGTGCCTGCAGATGACAGCTACCCGTATGTAGATACTCGATGAGTTGTTTAAAGACCTGTACAGGATATACACAGGATAGAGTGATAGAGACATGGACAGGATATACACAGGATACAGTGGTATAGACATGGACAGGATAGAGTGATAGAGACATGGACAGGATATACACAGGATACAGTGGTATAGACATGGACAGGATAGAGTGATTCGTCACGCGGCTCGGACTGGGACGTTCCAAAGATATTTACGTGTACACTACATGGCTGCTGCGTTCATAGCTTTGCAAGTCCGTAACAGCAACAAGGTGAGGCAGCTATTGACAGATCAGCACTGGCTTTCCTCTCAATCCGGATACCGGGGATGTTCACACCCTGTCTTGTCTTGTATTAAAGCCTGTCTCGTATAGTTAACGTGATGAGTACCGGTATTGTTACCCGTGCTTACCTCAGGTTCGAACTCGGCCACCGTGATTCCATTGGGGAACTGTAGTGATGGCGAACCGGATCGCTGTATGCTCGGGCTGTTGTCTGTCGACTTGCCGGCGAACAGCTTGGACTTTGTCTTGCTCTTGGTCAGGCCGCTCTGCTCACCATTCTCCTTATGGTTCTTGCCACCGGTGACTTTGGACTGCGTGTTGATCATGCTGGGAAATTGCTGGTCTCCAAGTAATAACTTTCTCATCACTCTGCAAACGCACAGGCGCACACATGCACACACACACACAAACACGCAAATACAAACAGAGCAAAGGACACGTTTGTCAACTTCTGTGTGTGTTCGTATGCTCCTATTCCTAAGGTCAGCGCGATGCGCATTGTATGTCCAGGAGAATGTGTGTATTACGTCTAACTCTGATATTTCCCCTGGCACTTTCGTAACAAAATCGCCGGCATAGCGCGGTTTACACGTTCAGTGATCGATGTTCACAAGAAACGTGTGTCCGTTGTAACTCGCACGATGTTTTCCTCTTACACCTTTGTGTCCAATTCTGGCATTGACAGGCAGCAGCAGTTTAAGTGGTATATGTGCGGTGCTGCAGCCTAGGCCCCAGCGCTGCACACCGGTACGTGTGAGGTGTGTGGTGGCATTCCACACACGATGCCAGGACTTCCTGTCACCCGCTATGCCCCGTTACAAGCTCTGTGTGCTCACTTCCAAGTGATGCTGCTCACGGGTATTGCTACATGATGTTTGCGACAACGATGAGCAGACGTGCGGTGCGGGTAATATCTCCAGTGTCTTGTGTGGTGGAGTGCTTCCACTCTCTGTGTACGTGCGTGTGTGTATGTGCATGTTGTAATGTTGTCGTAGTGTTGTGAACATGTACTGAAGACTGAAGTAGTGGTGATCGTCAATACCACCATCCTCCTATGCATGATACTAAATGTACTGTTGTTAAATGTGTATAGGAAGATTGTGTGCAGCACAAGATACACAATAGTCTACATCCCACAGCTACCCAGAGCTGCACACATACCTACTCGTACAACTGAGTACTTGTGTAGGATGTGCTGAACACCAGCTGAGTAGGTACATGTACCCAGTGCAATGCAGCACTACCACCTAGACCATGGTCAAATATACACTACCAACAGCTGTACGCCATAGCTCAGTGGTTAGAGCATCGCTGGCCTCAAGCGAAGGTCCCTCTGGTTCGAGTCCTGGCGGTGTTTCTTCGGACCTTTTTTTCCCTTTTCCATTCCCTCAACTACTGAATACGTGAAAACACAATGAACATGTTTTCCCAGCACTACCTGCAGCACTACCTGTACCAGCAAAGTAGGTACACGGCACGACAGGATACTGGCCCTACAAGGCAACACCACTAGCCTCACTGTATAGTCTGCAGGGACTGCTGCAGTGGCTGTGTAGTGTGTACCATATCAATCAGGGTTTTGTCGGCCTGTCTCTGCATGCCTGTGTGGGTTACTGGTATCTCCATGCAGCAGCCAGTATGCATGACTGACTACAAGGCTCTGTAGTACCACATACCACTGTGGCTTGAGTGCTGTAGTTTCTGTCTCTACTCTGTCTTTAAATATGCAGTAGTGCAATGAGTGAGATGCTATGCTGCAGTAGATATACTGAAGTATGCTTCACAGCCTGCTGCTGCTGCTGCTGCAGTAGCCAGTATACTACTAGTAGGCTATGACTCAGCTAAGGTCTACCTGAGCAGTCTGATCAGCAATCCTGTCACCATCACCAAAACTAGTGCCAGTTGAAATGGGTCACAACAGTTTGCTGATTGAGCTCCAACAGTAGTAGGTGTTGGGGAGATGAAAGAGAGGTGTGCACACGCTGCAGTAGGTGTGTATGCTACTATGCTGCAGGCATTATCCTTACAGGAATAGCAGCCATGCCTACACAGCGTAGTTCCCCGGGAGGCAGTGGCAGTGACAGAAACCATACAGTCAGTGCAGTTCAGTGTGGTCTTTGAGTTGTGACCAGTCGCTGACCCCATTCAGTTACACTCTACAATGTTAGGCCAGTGTGTGTTGATCATGGATCATTGTGCCTATATGTTAGGCCAGTGTGTGTGTGTATTGATCATGGATCATTGTGCCTATATGTTAGGCCAGTGTGTGTGTGTATTGATCATGGGTGGTTGTGACTATGTTAGGCCAGTGTGTGTTTGATCATGGGTGCGGGTTGTGACTGTGTTAGGGTGTGCACACCGTGTATTGCTCAAGGTGAAAACTGTTGTAGAGTGATCAACACTCAGCTATGCCCTGTGGACACAGCGCTGGGAACTCTGGTCCGAGCTGTGCCCCTTCCGCCAGTTACACTCTGTATACCCCTACATTCTCCGCAGTAGTAGGACAACAACGATACTATACAATTGAGGCTATTTTGCAAGTTGTGCCAAAAGGAAACCCCGGTAGTAACCGCAATCACTCTCAATCATCTAGATTCATTGTTGCTGAACAAGCAGGAAGCCAGTAGACACAGTTGCGACTCTTCCAATTCTGCCTTGTCGTTGTGTTGCATTGCACAAGGGCTGTTACTGCTGCATCTGCTGGTGCTGCACACGGCCACTACTTGTTGGAGAACGATCCGCACCGCGGTTCGTTTGCGAGTTTGTCGCAAGCCATCTGCGTTTGTGCTGCCGCCGTACTAGCGACACTAGTATGAAGCATACACCTACGGTAGCCAGCATACAGGTAGCTAGAATGGGCAGATTGTGACGGTGATGACAACTACAGGCAGCAGACCTGTAGCACACTTGTATATCTACAACAGCATTGCAATGTAATGTAATGTTTTGTAATGTATCCAGCTTTGGTTGTGGTGCTTCGAAGTATAAGGGCTTGTTCTGACTTCACGACTCTCAGCCCTATCACACATCAACACAAGACGATCTTGACAGACTTTCCACAATTGCCTCACTCAGTTCCAGGGGCAATGTCCCTTGACGGTGATAACACACAGGCTCATGCACTTGCCCTGTTGTTGCTAGTGTGTGTCGGCCTATGTGGGTATGCAGGCACGCACCGCTTTACCTCACACCTTTGGGAACAAGCTACCAGTGCAGTCCCCACAAGAGAGTCGAGAGTCACTTGAGTGCCAGGTCATACAAATCTACTCCCAGGTCATACAAATCATAACTCCAACGCGGGCACTTTTTTCAATGTATATTTGACAAAATACTATTTGTTGAACCTTTTTTTAACCATCAAGACTTAGTAATAGTTGAGCCCCCTGTTCACTGTCTGGATGGAGTCTGAAGAGTTGTGTCAACACTCCAAGATATCAGTGAACAGTCATGTAATTACCGAAAGTCCTTATCTGTCTCCCAGTTGAGAAACACACACCGCAAGCCCTGACTCGCCCGAGAAACATAACACATTGTGAACATTGTGAACTGTCACGAGTCACAACCAGTAAAGGTCACCAGGGCTAGTACTCAGTACTACTAGTAGGGAGGTTGAACGCAGCCATAGCCTATGGCCTGGCCCCCAAAACGGTTTTCCATGACGGTAGTGTACTCCATACGCCGACAATCTGTCAAACTGATCACTTCTTCTACTAGGCCAGTTGTTCATTATTTTGTCTCCAAATCACCCACTCCCAAATAAGTTCCCAAATCTCATCCTACTTGGTCATTGCCGCTGGGCGCTGAAGCCAATCCTAAAATACTGGAAAGGCACTCTCGTCTGACCAGATGCTGCTTACTCAGACCGCGTACCGCACTTGCCTCCTCTTCTAATCGAACTGCACACGCCTTATCTCCCTTATTTGCCCAGAGTTTTACGACTTTTGGGTCTGCTCTGGCCGTCAAGCGAAGCCATCTGCGGTCCTACAAATGGCATTACCGGTAGCTGGCCACTGCGCGGGTTTCGCATCAGCCACAGAGCGGGCTACGTAAAGATAAGGGAAAGTGCTGGCAGACACAGTAGATAGACACTGTAGATAGAACTGGCCACTTCGCATCAGTGCATCTTTACGATTGTAAACAATTATTTGTAAGGCAAGGCCCAACGCCCAATATCAGCTCGCTAACTACTCGTGACCAACACAAAAAATAAGGCCTTCACCCTACCAAATCTCAACCAAAACCACGCTAAAGCGTCCCACTCACCTGCTTCTGGCGGCGAGGATAGCGCGCACGCCGCAGATAGGTTGGCGCTCCTCTCCGACAAGAAACGTCACGTCGCATAGTTCGGGCAGGGACGCTAGCAATCTCAAATCATCCGCTAGCGCTTGCTTGTTCTCCACCCTGACGAACACTGCGCCATCACTGGACTCCACTAGCGTTGTGTTCATGCCGTTAGAGCTCACCGATCCCATATCGGCGCTTCCTGTTGTGCTGGAGGACGCTACACTGCGACCTACAAATCAACCAAGCAAACAAAATAAAACCAACGCTACGATGTCAGACACTGGATCTCGAAATGCAGACCAGCTCCGACTGCACTGCGTCCATTCGAAACGCAGCGGGGGGAGCAGTTTCGAGCCCACGCGTAGATCTACACAGCCACAAGTTTTTTTTCACATTCAACACAAGGCAATCGATTAATCCTGCACGCACGCGAATCTTTCCATCATTCGTTCTGATTTCAAACAGCGCCAAAGCAATTACTGTGTATTTGACTATTTGCATCTTACAGCGTTTTCGTCTGTCAAGCGGATACATGTTGCAAAGGAATTTTGTTTCATCTTCAGAAAAAACAACACAGTCACGAGGAACGAGCAGATGATCCACAAACTAGGTCTTCGCTTACTTTCCAACTCCGTTTCTGAGTTCGGATACTCATCATCATCGCTACGCATGCTGCGATGGTCTGACAGACCACCTTCTCCAGTCGACGTTCTGCTAGCGGGCATTCTGTTCTGTCCTTCGCTCTGCAGGTAAGTGGCTGCTGGATTCAGCATCAAGCCGGCTGTCTTTATTGCACACTGCTCTACGAAGATTCTGTGTCACAGGGAAATAAAGCGACCCCCGTAGCAACAACCAGCGTGCGCTCCAGGCACCGACTACAGCACAGGTTTCTCGAACCGCTAGTGTGCCGTGGACGCTACAACACGCTACAACACCAACAACTGTGCGATAGCTGCGCACTGCTCGCAGAACACCGAACACATCTGCGCCAGCCTCAGTCTACAAACTAGATGCGAGCACTAGACGAGCACATTCGGGCTTCGCCAGCGCACTTGTCGGATCGTACTGTCGGCCGTTTATGTTCTCACACGGGAAAACGACCCGGTGTTTTCTAGCAGCACGCTGCAGCGAGTCCCTTGCGAGCTAGCGGTCGGAGCAGAAGGCACCAGGTTTAGCTAGCAAGCGTCACGGATGGTGTAGTGGCTATCGATATCAAATAGCACACACGCGGCACGCATCAGAAAGACAGCAAAGATTGTTCGACGACGGAACACGACGGAAATATTCAATCTCAACTGTTCTTGAGTGCCTCACGTTTGCGAGATCAACCGAAGTATGAGAGTGAGTGTGACGCGTACACGCACTTGTTCTGATGTAAATCAGGCGCGATTCCTCGCAAGTGGTCGCGAAAACTCTGTGACTGGGGAAATCTGTCAACTGACTACCCAACACTACTTTTGCATGCAGCTTTCCAGGCCTGCATGCGGGACCACCAAGTCAAGACTACAAAAGACTGTGTTCACGTGGATCATACCTGTCGCGTGCATCCGTCGCCCACGGTTGCGCACCCGGTCGACCTGTCATGCACAGCAATCGGTCTCAGGCTAGCTGTGAGTGTCGGAGCGAGTTTTCTTGCAGTTCACGCTCAGATAGCGGCTGATGAAACGAAGACGAAGTCTCCTTGCTCGTCAGGAGTGGCAATGAAACGGCCTGAAATAATGTCATTAGGAGTGGAGGTCGTATGCAGCTAGCTGTAGGCTGTGGGTTGTACCGAGCCTCGCAGGGTACACAGTGTGTCAGATCATCAATCGTTCCAATAATCGCTAAAATAATTATCTTCGTGCATTGTAGCTGCGTGGAGGGCGAGCGTCAAACGGTTGGTCAGGTGTGTGGGCAAGCTGGGGATCACGGAGCACCTGCTCGCTAGCTGTAGGGCTTACTGAACACCCTACTTCTGATAGGTAACCGTGGGTCACGGTGAATGGAATTATTGAAATGGGCGAGTATTCTGTAAACAGGGGAAGATGTCTTGTTCTCTCGTGCGGATAAAATTATTATACTGTGAATAATCAACACTGACAATAGCGCCTATAATACATGTAGCCATTAGAGCTACTTGAAGTACACCATCATGAAGTAGTACATGGCTGTTGCGTGTGATCCCTGGCACACGCCACTACATACACTCACTACATACCGTCACAGCTACAGCCCGGTGATTGACGCAAAAGACTCATTGATGCTCAGCTTCACCACCACCACATTTGATTCTCACATTTTATTATCAGTTTTGTCGGCATACTAGTATGCAGTGCACAGTAGTTTACTGGCTGCAGTCTATAACTATGTAGGGATGTGTGTCTGTGCTTACAGCACACAGTCCAGTTGTGTCTCCTGACATGAGTCATGGCTCAGTGAAGACTGAAGATTGTGAAGAACTACCATGACAATTGTCATTGTACTAGTGGTGCTCAGGTCTTCTTTTTTTTTTGCTGCTCTGGTCTTGCTAATACTATAATGTACTAGTGGAGAGGTTGCGCACAACGAAAATTCGTAGCGCCCTAATGAATATTTTTAACGAAAAAAAGCTAACGAATATTCGTAAACCAGGAGGTTGCGCACACGAACGCGTGAACTTTTTCGTAGTGGCCAGTGGGTCGACGCAGCGGCCGCGCGGGTGCGAAGAGTCAAGACAGGGAGTTGTAAAATATCAGTATTTTAGTACTCCAGGTAACGAAAAATATTTTCGTAGATCTCTGTTTCGGTCGCGTTTGGACGAATCTTCGTAGCAACTTTCGTTACTCGAACCTGGACAATCGAAATCTTACAACACACTCAACACAATACGTAACGCACAGCCAACACATACGTACATGTATACAACACATACATGTATACAACACATACATAACACACATCCAACACATACGTACTAAGTAGATCTACTACTAGCACATACAACACATACAATAACAGTAACATGATGTATACAACACATACGTAACAGTCTAACACACATCCAACAGTATGTGCGGTGGCATTTTTTCGCTGGTGTTTCTCCTGAAGGCTAGGGCGGTCCTCAATGCCTCCATACGCCCGCATCACACCTTGCCTCTTGGCCTTGCAATGTTTCAATGGCATGTGTTATAGTTGTCTATGTGTCAGTGGCGTGCGCTTATTGACACCTTGATCTGTCCTAATCAGTGTGTAGGATGTGGTGCAGAATGTACATGACTGTACTGGCAGTGCACGAAAAGGTTTAAAAACCCTATAAGGCTATATGCTGAGTCCTCAGCATGACTTGCATTGCCACATGCACTGATACAGTAGATAGACAATCACAATCTATACTATAGGACTTTATAGTCACGGTCTACCTGCCACAGCCACAGCAGCTACATGTACATGCACATAGTCCTTGAAACTTTCCGCGCTCCCTCGCCCTGACTGACCATCCACACGACCATCATGGCAATATTTCTGTACTGAATCAATACCCACTAGCTACTACTACCACCAAACTCTGCTTTAGATTGGCCAAGTTCCACTGAATCGATGTCAGAAGTCGCCTGATGATTGTATTGTGCAAGAAACTCGGAGTTGCAACGAACTCTGTAAACCCTTTTGTGCCTTTTGTGTAATCCTTGTACATCAGGGTGAATATTAGATACCCATGTACCCATGTACCTTGTTTTGTTCAAACATGTTGGTTGACAGCATGTAACAAGGTAGGTGGAGGACACCATGTTCGGAAACAGTGACCTTTCTACAACCATCTCATGGGCTCTACCAACCGTGGATGGTTGTAGAAAGGTCGCTGTTGTCGAACACGGTGTCCTCCACCTTCAAGTTGTTACATGCTGTCAACCAACAAGATCTGTGTACATGTTACTATTGCATGTGATTATGATCTTGATCTTAGCTGCCAGTCAGCGCCGTACTGTACAGTGCTAGTTTGTAGTACCGGTGGTCTAGCTGTCAGTTTCCTGGCCAGGTAACAGGTTGGAAGACACACAAGTATTTGTGTCCATGTCTATGTAGAATACTGTAAGGCCACTGCCGTAATATTAAATAACGAAAATTTAATTCTAATGTTTTAACGAATTCCAAAAATTCATTAAAATTTGAAGTCGTTATGTGCAAAACGATATGTACATGTACAATCACTTGCCGGTTTTGACGGACAGAATTCGTTAGCATTTCACTTCGCTGACCAACAAAAATCCGGAGATCATTAACTTTAATTGACGTTAAGATATCTGGTCTTACAGTAGCAGGTATTGGCCACGGAGTTTCATGGTTTATTACATGCAACTCCCTGGTACTGACTGCGAATACGCCATGTACAAGTAGTACAAACACACCCTCCTGTATTCACTACACAGTCACTTGTATTGGCACCCAAGTCTCCAACATTACTACTTGTACACTTGTATTCAAAGGACTGCTTTTAGACTCAAAATGGATGAAATACACAGTTTGTGTATTCGTAGATAATGTTGTCCTGAAGATGCTGTTCATCAATCAAAACAAGGTCTTCAAGTTCCCCAGCCAGATGACTTGAAGGGGCCAGCTGTTTAGCTGCTTTTTCCTGATACTGGGTGTTGTGGACCTACCTTGGCCACCTAGCCTAGTGTTTTCTAGTGAGTTGTGTGCATCACTGTGCAACTGTAATGTGGACAATGTATTGATTGTACCAATATACGTGCATTGAGCACTCTACCTGGAGCTTCCTAGACCGGCCTTGTTTGCGTTTGAACCAGTATACATGTACATGTACTTGCATAGGTAGCCACTGTATCAATGGTGCTCTCTGTACAGTAGTACAATGTACATGTACATGTAGCATGGTTGTACATGTATGTGTATGTGTATGGGTATGGGTATGTCCATAGGACAGTATCCTATTGGTTTGGGGGAAAAAACTGATAAGAAAAGTTTAGGGGGGGGGGGGGGGGGATGATCCAAGTACAAAATACAGCTCCCCTGCCCAGTGACATGCTGGCTGCGGAGAATGAAAATAATTCTGGCCTACATGTCTAGTCCCTGCACTGCATGCCCTGTGAGTATGTATGGCCTGTAGCCTTCTAGTGTATAGAGACAATTGTTGCCCCCTGCTGGCACGTACTTAGCCAGTAGATGATCTATTGTTTGCTACATTTGTACATTGTATAATAATATTAATAACATTAACAGCACGTAGTAGATAATGTACTCCACGGGCACTGAGGTATTTTCAACTATTATTTCTGTTGGTCTTGTCTTGGTTGAATGCTGCCTGCTATGCATGTGCACTGTGTCAGAGATGTTATGCATGCAGCTGCTGCTGCTTTTGACAGCTGAGCTGAGTGGAGCAGTGCAGACTTCAGCTAGAGTGACATAAAAAAGTGAAGGCTGCACTTGTCTCCGGGCACTTCAGAAAAGCTTGAATGACACACACGCACACACATGACTGTACTGTGTACAACTGCTATCATAATCTTGTGTACCATGCAAGATCCACTTGAGGTAGGTGTCTGCTGACAGTGACACGTACCTGTCTGGACTGGCTTCTTGATGCAGCTTGCAAGCTTGGTGGCTTGCAGCTGGACAGTTGCGTTGTGTGTGGGGGAGGCCTGGACTGGACTGGGCTGGGCTACTAGTAGTATGTCCTTTGATATGACTCATTATGAGTGCTGTAATTACTGTCCCACTGTATTGGTATGGCTGTAGTGTAGATCATACCATGTATCCTTTGTGCATGGTCCTTGAATCAGCTGGTCTTCTAGTCTGAACTATGGACTCTTCAAACATGGCCTCAGTCTCTGCTGCATGTGCATGTATTGTGCATTAATTGTATGTTTTCTTTCCTTTCAATCAAGTACATGACTTGTACATGTAGTAGTAGTAGTACTTGGAAGTACAGGTAGTAGTTCTGATTCAGTCCTGAGTACAGTGAGAGTGTAGTGCAGTTAGTCTGAGTGCAGTGCGGCCTGTGTTTGTCTGTGGTTGGCTGTGGTTGGCTGTGGAGTTTGGGCAAGAACTAATCGCAGCCACCGTGTTTGCCAACGTGAGACAGTGAAGCAGCAGATCTGTTATCACTCTAGCTATCACTAAACACCACAGCATGCCCGTGTTACAGAAAGTCTATTCCTGCCCTACAGTCTGCAATGCTAGATGAAGAGCTGGTGCCTAACCGTCTGGCTGTGACTGTAGAGACTGTCATTGTCAGTGGCCCAGGGCTGAAAAACAGGTGCTCTGGGCAGGTCTGGGGACTCAGAAAGTCAGAATCCATACTTCAGTTCAGTTTGAAAACGTTAGCATGTATGCCTGTAGGGCTGGT